GAATGCAATTGGGTTTGTAGCTGGGAGCTACTGTTGAGGAAGGAGTAGAGTATTGTGTGATAACTCCACCAGAAAAACTGAAAACAAATTAATACATACGATGATCATCGAATAGCATTGGCATTCTCTCTAGCTGCATCTGCAGATGTTTTAATCACCATTAAAGATCCTTCTTGCACGAGAAAAACTTTCCCTGATTACTTTGAAGTCCTTAAGTCACAACGCACTAAAAACCACAGTTGTCTTTTTTTCTTCGTCCATTACTCGATTTTGTCTTTTGTAACATTTTCAGACCCGAGTAATTTACTTTGTAATCCGGGAAATGCAATCCCTGAAATCTGTTTTGGTAACATATAAAGTATAGGATTGGTTTAATTAAATTTGGTTGATTCCTCAATAAGTTGCCTCATAACTACCTGTCAGACTATTATTTGGTAAACCGGCCGTTAAGAATTGGAAATGTATGCAATAGAATTAGGTAATATACTTACTGTTCGTAGTTTTTTAAAAGCTATTAAGCTGCAGAGAAGACGTAAATCACTGAGAAAGATAAATGAAACATTAACCAGTCTGAAAGATTGCATAAACAAGTTTGTTACCTAAATTCAAAATCTCATTGTAAGTTTGTAACCCATCAAAACTAGAGAAAACAGATAAAAAGATCCAGAACTTATGTTGCAATGCAGCAAATGAAATGGACGTTCTTGAAGGACTTTTAGCAGCTCTATGCTTCTTAAGCCACAAGAGTGCTTGCGGTAGTGGACTCGCTGCAAAAGTAAGAATGAGAAATGGGATTAAAATTCAAAGTAAAGATTATACCCGAGATCTTTAAGAAACTATTTCAGTGTCTAAGTACTTACTACTTCCAGACGGGTGGGAGCTTCTTGGTCTTCTTGTAATAACGGGCAAGACGGTGGATTCTGCTCTCAACAAGAATCAACCTGAACTTGGAGTCCTTGTCTTTCCTGTTCCTCTCAAGATGCTTGCGAATAGCAACTGCTTTCTTGATCAAGTGATACAGATCCTCAGGGATCTCAGGAGCAAGACCTTGAAGAAATCACAAATGACATCTTAGTTACCTTGAATGTTTAGTCTACCAAACAAAGAAACAAGAAGACTCTAGCCAGGATAAAAAATGTACCATGAGCTTTGAGAATTCTCAGAATCTTGTTTCCGGTAACGCTCTTCACCTGTGGGATTCCGTGAGAGTCACGAAGAATGACACCAATCTGAGATGGAGTCAAACCCTTCTTTGCAAACTTGCAAATGGACTCATCAACCTAATTGTTCATCAAAACAAACATCAGAACCAGTCAGATTAAACACATTACTCTCAAAGCAGAGTCAAGTAACCTCATATAGATAGAGACCAGCAACAAACATCACTCTTAGTCACAATACTCATCAAGAGATAAAACCACCAAAAGGAATTATCACAATAAGCTAGTAATCATCAAAGTTACATTACTTATACTATGATTACAATTTCGAAATGAACCCAATCTTCAAATTCCATATCCTAAACAAGGATTAAGCCTATGATTACCATTTTGAGACGCAGCATTTCACATTTCAAGCAAATCGAACAATGAAAACCAAACAGAAATCTAGATTTGTTAAACGAATCTTACATCCTGAGCAGTTGTTTTGAGCCAACTCGGAGATGACCGCTTGTACGGCAAAGCAGAAGCTGAGATTCCCTTACTACAAAACACAAAAACAGATACGAAGCATATAAGAGAACAAGTTTTTCAATCGAAACTCAATCAGATACGAGGAAGAAATGAAAGTTACGAACCCTCTCGAATGCATACGCCCCATGACTGCGACTGTACACGGAGCTTCCTTTCTCTGAGATTGTTCTCTCTCGGTTTTCTCCGGCTGCGACTGCGCTAAAGAGTATACAAAAACCCTAATTGCTCTCTATTTATATAGTCTCTTAGGGTCGTGTCTTTGTCTTTAACAGGCCCATTACAAAAGGACGCATTATGACCCATGTATAACCCACAAGTAAAACGACGCCGTTGCAAAAGGATTTGACGAGATAGGAATGGTATTTGTCAATAGTTTTAGTTTTACAAAATTTTATATCCAAAGATAACATAAGCTTGAGTTATAGTACATAATTACTGTATGTCTTTAAATTTTTTTTTTTGTAGAATATTGGATGTAGAAGAATGACATCCAAATATTCTGATTTTGGCGTAATTAATCATGAACCTTATTTAAAGAGAGGTGCAAATTGAAAACTAATCTCTTTTGATTAAATAAAATGTGTTACATTATTGTCTTGTTGTATATAAAATCCGACTTGACGCATACCGGATTCTTACACACACAAGAAAGAAAAGAAGAAGAAATCAGTTTCACTTTATACGATACGGATTGACAATGTATCTAGACACAAAAA